TTATCAGCCACATTTTATTTATATATTTCAATTTTAATTCTGCCTTATAAGTCAAGGAATTTTCAAGGTGATTTATCAAAATAGTAAAACACACAAAATTACAGTAAAAAAACCAGACAATTTTCATTATTCTATTCCATTCTGTATATAGTTTCTACATTTATTTTTCAAGCCAGCCCTGTTGGATTTCTTAAAAATAAAGCTTTTAAAGCAAGGTTGGATTTTGCTCAAGTTGTGGGTGCGGGAAGAGAAGTGATCAATGATGGAAATTTGTTAATGATGGAATTTTGGTGGTTTTGAAATCAAGATGTTTAATGGCCCTGCCTTGAGACAAGTAAGATTCAGACTTTCCTGTTTTTTTGCTGGCCAGACATAACCTTTCAGCAGCTGTATCACACACTCGTAATTCAGTATGTAGATGGGCTCCAAAGATAGATGTATATTTCTGCTGGCCCCTGTTTTCCTGACATTGGTAGATAACTCCTGAGAGCAGCATGAAATTAGCAAATGTTATTCTCACTTGGGCTCAGTTATAGAACACTGATAACCCATTTTCACACATAATGAGACAGAAAATGATATTCCTGCCACTTTGAACACAGTTTAATTGTTCTAGTAGCATCAATGGATGGAAATTTATGCTCCTTTCAAATGCAAATTTCAGCCAGATCTCTTTATGTGATTCAGAAAGAAGCCCCCCCCCCAAAAAAAAGTGGTGGTGGTGGTGGAGGAAGCATTGTGCACACATACACACCACAGGGCATGATCAACCCGAAGTTAAGACCTCTTATATGATTATTAGATGTCTTAGACTGAATTGTAGCACTGATTCTATTAAATTACAATCATCTGCTCTGAATAACAGCTACTTTCAAAGATTCTTTAACAGTAGAGATGCTATGGACTGAACATGGAACTATGTATAGAAATAGTGTACTTTAGCATTGAGATATGGCCCCTCAGTGGGAGAATTAAGAAGTGCAAATTAGGGTAGATGCACAGCTGCTCCCTAAATACTATGAGCTAGTTTGGGCGAACATCTCCTAGGCACATAAAACCCATTTACTTCTCCCTTTGTCACAAGTCAGTTAAAACAATTAAGTGACGTTTCCCATTTCATCAAAATAAGTAATGATGATTAACTCTTTCGGAACAAGCCAGGATATTGAGCCAACTTCAAAATACTGTGGTTTAATGTGGACCTCTGGGCTGGAATGGTGGAGAATGGTGGAGCAAAACTAGACTCAAATGACTCATTGGTGGGGAGGTTGTTTAATGGTGTGATCACCGGCCAAACTACTTTTGGACTGGCAAATAGTTCTCCCTAGATCAAAGGAGACTGCGGGATAAACCTCTAGGGTCCAATGTCCCATTCCTGGTGTTCAAATTTCCACTTCAATAGTGAGTGATCACAAGTGGAATGGATGAGACCAAGGCTGTGTACATGTCTCACTATGTTAAAAGGTTGTTGGATGACCAACACAAGGTCCACAAAACCAACTTTCTTAATTAAGAATTAACTAACGAAAGTGTTGGATTGTTCCGGAGAGGCTTTCTGATTCCAGTGCTAAAATGATTATTTCTATGTTACTTCTTCACATGATCAAAGAGACTGTGAGTTAACTGACTTGGGATTGTTTTAAGATATATATTTTTCATAGCAAAATGTGCAGAATTTGGGCCTTTAATAACATAATTGAAGAGTAAAGGGACCTAAATCTAAATAATAGAATTGAAGAGTAAATGGAACTAAATACAGAAACTGAAGAATAAAAGTACTTAAACTATAAATAAAAGACGACTAGGAAGAATAATAATGTTATGAAATGGGAGAATGTGATTTGTTTACCTTTGAAGAACGTGAAAGTTATCATGTAGCTGGCACAATAAAACTACAGATAAGCAGGTAACTCGGCAGTGCTACTGTACTGGCAGTAATATAAGCAAACTTAAAGTCTATATTATACAAAAGAAATTACTGGACAATAATGATGGTCTGATAATGGGCTAGGTAATCTGGGAAGAAATTTTTAAAGGAGAGAGATGAGAGATGAAGGGGAATATCTGGAGAAACATAGGCTTATATCACGGGTAGGCAACCTTTCCCCTTTAAGGCCCGAGGGACTTCAGCTCCCAGAATCCCAGGAGCTATTGGCCAACATGGGACTATTGGCCAACATGGCTGAGGCTTCTGGGAGCTGAAGTCCCTCAGCCCATAAAGGGGAAAGGTTGCCTACCCTTGGCATATATGGTAGAGGATACTTGTCGGGATGGTGAAAGAAATGAGGAGGCTCAAGCTGGAGGAGAAGCTATGGAAGAGATGGCCCTGTCCTTTTAGCTTCAGAGAAAGTTGAAGAATTGTGTAACCAGCAGGAATCAGCTGAGACCAAGAGACTTAATACTGGAGAAGGCATTCCAGTTAGAAAAGAGACAGGGATCTGGGAGGTCAGAGGATCTAAGGGCCTCTGCAGACAGGCGGCCATGGGCCGCTCCGAGAAGCCGCGGATTGGGGCTGAAGCTGCCCCATGCCTTGGCCCCAATCCACTCTTTTTCCGGCCCTGGAAGGAGCGCTAAAATAGTGCTCCTTCCACAAGGCGCAGAAAGGGCGCCGGAAGAGATGCTGAGTGTGTCTGGATGCTGAGCCAGAAGGACGTCATCAGAGCACTCGTCGTGTGCAACGATGGGTGCTCCAATGATGTCCTCAGGAAGGGGTTGGGGCGTCCAGTGTCCGGCTGCCCCAACCCTTCCTGGGATTGAAGATGGCGCTTTTCGCCATCTGAATACCCCCTAAGAGAGAAGAGCAGAAGGGAGAAGGGGGCCTTCGGCCTAGAGCACTACAGTACATGGGGAAGTATGCGAAGTGCCCAAAATCAAGATGAACTTTCTGTATGAGATAATGTACGTACTACGGGTTTTACTTTTCTGTTTGGATGAGTTATGGCCAATTTTTACAAGGACTGAGGTTTGACAGAAAATCCCAATTCAGATACAAAGGTTTATAAGTGAAATGTAAAGAACTGGTTTTATCTGGGCTTGAAACAATATGTATTATGTAAACTGATGTGGGATATCTGGTTTACAAAAAAGAAATATTTGTATAAGGATGTTTTTGTATTATAATAAATAAAATTACTCATTCACAGATTATCAAAAAACAGTTTTTCTTCTCTCCTCCAGAAATGTATAATAAAGATAAAGCTATATCATCTTCATTTTTTGAATTTTTTGATATGCATGCTAGAATTGCTAGCAAGATGCTAGAAGAGGGAGTTGTGTGCCACATAGCTTATCTTAAACTCACCTCTGAAGGTAGTCTGCTGTTGGCTGGGGTAGAAATTCAGTGGCAGATGCTGTCTTATTTTCAGTGTTGCTGTCTTATTTACAGCTTATTTTGAAGAGAAATTCAACATACCCTCCAACATTTCACAGATTAAAAACTAGGACACATGTGGCCAAGCAACATCAGAGTGTGGTCAAGGTGACAAGAGTTATTAATGAGAATGAACACAGCAGTTAGGAGAGGCTGTAGCAGTTTGCTTTTCCCTGAGCCTTCT